CCAGTGCTTCGGGCGACTGGAAAGACCACGGCTGCGTCAGGATGCCATCCAGGATGGTGGGCGAAGGCAGCTGCAGCTTGCTGCAGGCGCCAACGTCTTGCCAAGGAGGACTTCATGCTTCTTTTATCTTTTCCTTTGTTTTGCATCTGATATACACACATTCAGGCCATGCATGCTTTTCCATTTGTACCTGCTGCAGGACCCCTGGACGGACCTCCATCACAGGAGGCGAGCTGAGCAGCAGCAGTACCGGGGTCGGCTTTGCTCTGGGCAACCCAGCCCAGGCGGTTGCGGCTGCCAACCAGCAGACACAGCAGACCTCGCCAGGGCGAGACTCGGCTTGCAGCTAGCCCTGCCTCTAGCCGAAGCTACCGAACCAACGGAGTTGCTCCCTGCCCAGAATAAGTGCACGCCTGAACACTCAACCAACCGACTTTCCTGGATCTATACACAGTGGGCAGATTCGTAAATCAGCGGCTCGCAGCGCTATCATTCTGCATGGATTGCTTTGACTGCTCGACATGACATAAGCCACACTCTCGCGGTCCAGTTTGGTATGCGTCTTGAGTTAGTTTAGTTTGCCATTTCTGCATTTTTTTCGACAGGCGGCTTTCGCTCCATCGTACTTTGAAGTTCATTCAGATGCATACATGCCCATAAACGACGTTCCAGAATCCTCGTGCTTCGTGAGTGCGAACGAATTCTTATAGATGCGAGTTGCAACCAACCTTTCTCCAAGGAATTCCCTAAACTCCTTTAGCAGTTTTCGCATAGTATGCGGCGCACGTTCCCAAATGTTTTTTCGTATCTTCAAGACGAGAACACTATGGGATGAATGTTACTCGAGGAGAGGCGTGGTGCTGAGAGAATAGGGCGGGTCCGGCGAAAACATGTTGGGGTCGAACTGCCAGCACGTTTTTTTTCTGCTGAGTCAGAGCGGAAATGATATTTTTTGGGGGCATTGCCTGAGTCACTCTCATTGACGTTGCCATGGAATTCTTTTCAGAGTTTTTCATGCACGCGAATCATCGCATGTCTCGAACACGGGTTGGGTGTTGACTAACACGTGCTTTGAAAACACGTGTTTCCGTTTCCGTTTCCGCACAAAAGTCTCTTCACGATGATGCCGACAAACGTGTCAGGTGATTCCAGAAAGGACGCATCCGATCTTGATCAGAAACGAACTGGCATGTTTAAGATCCTATTGTCGCGTAACTTGGAAGTTCATGTTAGCTCAAAAATGTCTTTTGCTGGACTCCATCATGCCACATGCAGCAGTCGGGTCCCTGGGGGACCCTCTGTCTGTCAAAAGCGGGCTTTTGTAATTGAATATGAAACAGGTTTGAAATACCATGTGTTGCTCAATCTGATACAAACAAACGCATTCATGTTCCTTCAGTGTGCCTTGCTTGACCGGCAGAGCGCATTTGATTATGAATTAAATATGCTGTCGTCGCTGTGTGTGTGGCAATCTGCTGAAGTTGCTGCGGTTTCTTCGGAACATGGTGGAACGGAGCTTGCAAACTGAGATCGTTTGCATCCGTGCGTTCAATTTGTGCTGGATTTCTTCACTCCGGCAGTGTGACCCGTGAGTTTAGGCTGCGAAGCTCGGTTATATGGTTTCGAGCACTCGCTTGAAACGGGCACCTTGCACGAGTGTTCGGTAACTTTTCATGGGTGCTACGATTCGGCTTGAAACGGCCATGATTTTGTTGACGACAGTCCACGATTGTGCATGTGTTTGGGGCAATCGGTGAGTTCGTCGTTGATGTTTTAGCCGTGTACTTTTGCTATTGTGTTGGAGTTTGATGTCATGTGTTCAAAGCACCCATCGGCCACATGCATGCATGTTCAGCTTGATTTAAATTGCAGGTTCCAATCACATGAGCGAGCAAAGCAAAGGCATGTGTTGACGTGCATGTCAATGTTTTGCATCTACCCTAGCACCAAGTAAAGTTTTTATGATTCGCATTGATTTTAACTGTTGGTGCGGAGCGGAGGTGCAGAAGCCATGGCAGACCCTAGAGGTGCGATGCCCCAGTTTATGCTTTCGGAGGCAAGACTCTGTCGCTCAGGTCCACGCCTGGTGCCACCCCCGCCTCCACCGGCACCAGATGTGTGGTGGCCCCCGACGCCGCCTCCGGAGGTGGAAACGCCAATCTTCTTTTTGTCGGTGTAGGGAGTCTGCGCATTCCTAGCTCGGTAGGTTGGAGAGGAAGTGCAACGAGGCGGTTTCGCTCTGATCTCGCAAATGCCGAGCCCCGGACCGAGGCACAATGCATCAAGATGCAATGCACGTCGAAGATCATGTTCGTTCAGTGTTGGCAGGTTGTATCTCAGCCGCCGAATTTTGTCAGGTTGCGGTCTGCGCAACGGCAAAAAACGCACATAGTCCTATTACATGTTCATCATGTTTCACCCCATATGAGAATTACAGCAATTCCACAAAGCTTTTCATGGCGCGATTGTTGTAGGGCCCTTATGTCAACCCCAAATTCAACATCGGGTGTCTGCCCCTTGTGAATGAAACTTCTAAACCCTAAACCGGCCCAAAACTTCCTACACCGCTGAAGCGTGAAACCTTAAGTCCTAATTAAAACCCTATGGCCTAAATTTACTAAACCCCCAAACCCCGACCTGAAGCCATAAACCTAAAGTTTCAAAACCCTACACCGAAAACCCCTGAAGCCAAAACCTAAACCCTAAACCCTAAACCCTAAACCCTAAACCCTAAACCCTAAACCCTAAACCCTAAACCCTAAACCCTAAACCCTAAACCCTAAACCCAAACCCTGAAGCCCTGA